GGGGGGGGGGGGGCTGCCTCCCCAGACCATAGCTCTCACGGCTGGAAAAGTTTTCCCTTTGACTCTAGGGTTCTCCAACCCAGGGACAAGATGCCAGTATTCTCAGCTCTTTCCTGCTCCCACTTCCCAGGAGATGTCCCCTGCCCTGTTTCAGAACTGGGGACCTCTGAAGGGGGTCCCTGTGCCGATCCACAAGGCCCGGCTCCTCTCCTGCTGAGCTATGTTGCCTGGTGAGAACAGCCCGGCCCTTAGGGTCCTGGTTATGTGGGTCCCCTTGTCCCTGGAAGGTGGAGGGGGGGATGCAGAGAGCAGAGGAGCAAGGGCAGGTGGACACAAGAGCAGCAGGGTCAGGAGAGGGTGGCAGCGTCTCAGACCACGGCTGAGGAGGAAGAGGGGGACGCGGAGGCGGCAGAAGGGGACGGTGACGAGGGACTGTTCCAGAACAGCCACCGCCGCTTGGGCTGCCGCTTCAGGTGGAGATAGTCTTCCTTCTCCCGCTCCTTCCGTGCCCGCTGATAGTGGTCTTCCTCCTTCAGGTACCACACCGGCGGCCACCGGTGCTTCTCGAAATACTCCTGGTTTTCTGGAGCAGAATGCAGTGGGGCTTGGTTAGAAGGCAGCGAAGGGGAGGGGGGAGCACTGGGATGTGGAGGGTGTCCAGGGATACCCACCCCCACCCCGACGCCTTGGGGACCTGCAGCTGGCCCTGTCGGTGGGGGACACATCCCAGTCCCTGGGGCCACAAGTGTAAGCCCCTGCCTTCACAGAGCCCCCAGTCTGGCTGCAGAGCTCCCTAAACAAAGTCCCATGGGAAGGTCTCAATGGGAGTTTCCAATGTATTGGGTATAAAATAGGCTGGGACAAAGAATGAAGGAGGGAGCAGGTGCTGCATGGGGGCCAGCGGTACCTGGCAGAGCTAAGGTTCTGAGGGGAAGGGGGACATGGCGTTGGAGGGGAGCAGGAGGGTCAGAACGGAGAAGGCTAGGCTGAGGGCTTGGGACTGATTCTGAAAGGTGCAGGGGGCCGTGGGAAGGTTGGAATCAGGGGAGTGTGATTGGAGCTGTGCCTTAGAAAGAAAACGCTAGAAGGGTGAAAGAGAGAGAATGGGAAGGGTGCAGAGACAACCTGGTAGCAGGGAGGAGGGTCCCAGCGGAGTGGAGGTTGTCCAGTGAAGACCTCAAGGACACTGAGTGGCAGGAACTCGGGAAGGCCAGGGACACCTCTCCCTGGTACCTGTGCAGTTCTTATTAGGCCCCAGGACCTGACATATTAATTAAGCAGAGGCACAGCCCCAGGGACCTCAGAGGCTATCGGGATTCATGTTGTCCACGCTGTGACTTGTGCCCATTCCTAGGCTGTGAAACCAGTGTAGCAGGTCATGAGCAGAATTACAGACAATTTATGTATTTTTCTACATGGGTGCTGGGTCACAATATAAAATGTAGTTCTTAGTGTAGAGGCCTCACCAAGAAGTCTGGAAAAAAAAAATACCTATAGTCCAACATCCTCTTTATACCTGTGAGACACAGAAGCCCAGACAGGTGGAGTGAGTTGTTGCCATAGGTCCCTGCTGCCCTGCCCACCAGACCAGTGCTTTTCTTGGGCCCCCTTCTGCTTGGCTGGATGCAACTTTGTAGGCTACACCCCTCCCGCAATGTCAAGTTAGGCCCAAGGATTTTTGGCAGCTTCCCAGTGCCCTGGGGTCAGGTCAGAGATTTGGACCCAAGCTGAGGCCCCTTCAACGTGAAGCGTGGGATCAGCAGGTCCTGCCGGGGATGCTCACCTGGGGACATGGCCTTCATGTCTCGGGGGAACTTGCGGCACACGTTGTTGTAGTTGGTGCAGATGTGGTGGAGACACCAGTCCGCCAACTGGTAGGCGCAGTGGAACTGGGGAAACACAGAAGGGCGCCTGTGCTGGGACCCAGGGCGGGGTCAGCATAGACTGCTCCAGTTGCTGTCAGAGCGGAAGCTTCAGGGGCAAAGGCTCTGTAGTGAGCGGGAAAGGGCCCACCTGAGAGGCACATCCGCACAGCGCTGTGAGGGGACCGCGTCTGATTGGCTCTGTCCTGTGCCAGCATCCATGGAAACCCCTAGCCCCATGTGGAGGCTTCCTACCAGGTCCACCTCCTCAGATCTGACTCCAGGTGATGTACTTCCCTTCCCCATCGAGGGCCAAAGCAGTGTGTACTAAGGTGCCGGCGACTAGGCTTAGAGCTGGCTTTCCCAGGTGTGTCCGCAAGCCTCGAATCTGCCACGCTTTAACTCCAGAACTAGTCTTTAATGGTAGAATTTCTGACACTCTCAAGGCTGGTGTGGGAGATTTTGCTAGTTTGCATGGGAATAAAAAGGTGGGCAGTTAATTTTAGAGAGGGCATCCTCAGTGTCCCTTCACTGACCTTGGGCAGGCAGCAACCACGTCTACACATGAGGCTGGGGTCCGCTCCCCTGCCCTATGGTTGCCTGAAGTCTCAGCCCCATGCCCCCATGCCAGCTTCTCCTCTTGGCAGGTCAGGGTGTATCCTCTGGCCTGGAGGACAAGAGGGACTCTACCTAGTCAGGGAACTGAGTCTGACAATGGGTTCCCTTCCTACCCATCACCTCCCAGCCCCTCCCCATGCGCTGCCGATGGGCAGACAGAGCCCAGAGTCGAGCCTGTTGGAGAGATTCCTTCCCTTGACATCATACCTGAGCCAGTTCCAGGAACACAAGGACGTCCCCATCGATGTCCACCATCATCTGAGTTGCTTCCATCAGCCCGGTCACTGTGTACTGCTCTGTGACACACACACAGCCAGGAATCAGCTGAAGAACCACATGAGTGGACATGTGCTCACTTATACTCCCCCAGCAGAGGCCTACTGTAGGGCAGAGAGAGATCAAGGCCAAGGGCAAGTCCCAACAGGCCCAGGAAAGGCCACAGGCGAGTTAAGTCTGCTCCCACCAGTGAGGAAACTGGAATTAGAGCAAGACTACTGCAGTGGAATAGGGTAGGAAGTGAAGGAGAATATCACTATTGTCTAAGAGGATTTTTTTCAAGCTATATATGCTGCACCAAATAGTCTGATACACCTAGGATGAAAGCCCCCAATGGAATCAGTCATTGAAACTGCCAGGAGAGGGTATGAAGTCTCAGGTTGGCTGAGAACTATGAATTAGAACTACCAATTAAACCTAGCTGTTTGTAGTAGTTTAAATTTTATAACAAATTGTGTACTAATGTTGCATTTTAAGTTAAAGCCTTTACATTGAAAAAGCCAATGCCTTTACTCCTGAATTTTTTTTTTTTAAATATATCTTTATTGATTTCAGAGAGAGGAAAGGAGAGGGAGAGAGAAATAGAAACAACAATGATGAGAGAGTCATTGATCGAGCCCGCAACCCGGGCATGTGCCCTGACCGGGGTATCGAACCCCGATCTCCTGGATCCCAGGTCAATGCTCAACCACTGAGCCACGCCCAGCCGGGCACTCCTGAATTTTAACAGTATCAGTATAAACTGAGGTCTTTTATCTTTACAAATATAAATATATTTTGCCCGATCAATGACTCTCTCATCATTGATGTTTCTATTTCTCTCTCCCTCTCCTGTCCTCTCTCTGAAATCAATAAAGATATATTTTAAAAAATAAAAATAAAAAAAATAATAATAAAAATATATATATATAAATATATTTCCCAGCTCAGTCCGTGGAAAAGACCCAGTGACAACAGCCATCACAGCAGCAAGGGGCATTCCTAGTGCACAGGCTGCAGCCTTGAAATGCCATTTCCAGCTCTTGGAAACCAGGATCTCATAGAGAAACGGCTGGCTCCAGGTCTGGGGCAGGAAATGAACACAAAGGAACCTGGAACATCTTGTCATTCCATATAACCAGAGACTCCGGAGCCAGCTTGAAGAGACTCCTACTGGTTAAAGGTTCAGTACAGTATTTGAGCTTCAATAGGATAAATGCAAACATTTGAAACTCAAGTATGTTCAAATCTAAGGGCTCATAATAATACTTAAAAATAAAAACGGCCCAGCCAGGCGTGGCTCGGGGGTTGAGCATTGACCTAGGATCCAGGCGATCGGGGTTCGATTCCGGGTCAGGGCACATGCCCGGGTTTCGGGCTCGATCCCCAGTTGGGGGCGTGCAGAAGGCAGCCGATCAATGACTCTCATCATTGAGGTTTCTATCTCTCCCTCTCCCTTCTTCTCTCTGAAATCAATAAAAACATATTTTAAAAAAACAAACCTAACTAGTCACCCTCAAAGGATGAGAGGATAATAGGAAACAAACTTATCTTGACACCTGGTAGATAAAAGGAAAGAATCAAGCATTCGCCTGCCTTTCCTGTGTCAATTATATCACTGGTTAACCAAACAGTAGGTGTGGGGAAGCTTTCCTCTTTTTAGAAGTATTCCAACAGATAAACAAAGATGGAATGATTGAATTGGAGCATTACCATTTCACACCTAATAAGTTAATGGATCCAGGCAATGATACACAATGGCTGGTAACATCATGAAAAGAGAAAAAAGCAAAGAAACAAGCTATTAAGTTTTCTTACTAAAAGAAAATTGAATGTGCATGTGATCTAGCCTCTATATCCAATAACCGGTTTATAGAAAATATGGTGCGTTATAAAAATACAATCAACTAAAATCTAGATTTTCTAGATCAGTGGTTTTTTCCAATAATTGCAAGGGAACATTTTCTCTTTTTTTTAACCCTCACCTGAGGATATGTTTTTATTGATTTGAGAGAGAGGAAGGGAGAGAGAGAGAAACATCCATCAGTTGCCTCCCATATGCACCCCAACCGGGAAACAAACCCGCAACCCGAGTATGTACCCTCACCAGGAATCGAACCTGTAACTCTTTGGTGCACAGGGCAATGCTCCAACCAACTGAGTCACACTGGCCAGGGTGGGAAATTTTTTTTTAATGAACAAGGTACCTATAGATTTAAAAAACCTTAAGAGGCATATAAAAAATAAAACCATGCCATAGTGTTTAAGGATGCACACTTAGATGATAAAACTATGAAGAACAAGGAAGTGAGGCCATAAAAAGTACCCACCCCCCAAAAGACTAATAGGCAAAGTGGTAACTCCTGGGGAGGAGGGAAGGCCTGTGATTGGAAGGGACAGATGGGAGGCTTCTGGTGTGGCTGGAAGATTCTAGCTCCTGATATGGGTCATTCTGCTTTATAATAGTTCATTAAGCTGAACATAACGTGTATTTGTATTGTATTTAACAAAAAAGTTTTAAGTTTGAATTTATAACTTCAGAGAAAGCATATCCCACAAAACAGAAAGCATCACCAACTATACCATACCCAGCATTTTCTGCTGATCCTTGACAAGATATGTACAACACATTTTTGTCCATGTTTTCTGGCATGCATAGACCATTTCATGGGAAAAGTCATTCAACATTATTTTCTATGAGCCTCTTCATGCATCAGTGCCGTTAAACATTTTTAACAGCTACGTCATGAAAATCACCCATGTGTGCTTAACCAATGGTGCGTATTTGACTTGTCTTTGATTGCCTGCCATAATAAAGCAAACTCATAGAAGCACCTTTATATACTTTTTTCCTTTGAGTCATTTCTTTGGAGATAGTCTTTCTAAACTTGACTTACTTGGTCCAAGGGTTGGGACAGCTTTATGTGCTCTGGGCAGATGGCACCCCTTTCCATGGACAGCGTGCATGACATGCTGTTATAGCTGTGATCTTTAGAAGCCTCTCTCTCATTTCCCTGCCCTTATGCCCTCTGTGTCCCCAGCTGGGGCCCTGGACTCCCTCTGCAGGCTCAGCACTTAACAGTTGGTTCAGGTCAATGATTCTGCCTTCTTTCTACGACCAAGCCCCACCTTGTAACCATTTCTCATCATAAGACTGATGTTTCCTTCATACCCGAGTCTCAAATTTGGTCATCTGCCCAGGGCCCCAGCAGCCCTGACACTGAGGACTTCCCTGAACCTCAACTCAGTATCAGAGGCCCTGCTCTCTGCCCGTCAGTCTACCTGCTGAAGAATACAACCCTGATACCAACACCAGCATAGGTACCAACACCAACACCAATATCACACAAATTCCAATTCCAGTATCATCAGGAGCTGTCTGTCTGCCTGCATGGCTGGCCCCAGACTCTCTGGGTCTGGATAGCGCCATTTCTCCTTCCAGCCCCTTGGACCTGACTGCCTGCTGCTTGGCTTCCTTCTTGCCTCAGTCCCTGCTCCATCTGAGGCCCCTAAGGTTGGTCCCTTCTAAAAGCTGAGCTCCAGCCCCGCTGGGCGTGGCTCAGTGGTTCAGCATTGACCTAGGATCCAGGAGATCATGGTTCAATTCCCAGTCAGGGCACATGCCCGGGTTGCGGGCTTGATCCCCAGTAGAGGAGTGCAGGACGCAGCCTATCAATGACTCTCTCTCATCACTGATGTTTCTCTCTCTCTCTCTCTCTCTCTCTACCTCTCTCTCTCTCTCCCTCTCCCTTCCTCTCTCTGAAATCAATAAAGATATATTAAAAATAAAATAAAATAAAAGCTGAGCTCCAGCCCTGGCCAGGTGACCCACTTGGTTGGAGCGCTGTCCCATACACCAAAAAGTTGTGAGTTTGGTTCCCGGTCAGGGCACATACATGGGTTGTGGGTTCAATCCCCCATCAGAGAGCATACAGGAGGCAACCAATCGATGTTTCTCTCTCACATTGATGTTTCTCTCTCTCTCTCTTTCCCCCTCCTTCTTTCTCTAAAATCAATAAAAAAAAAAAAATCCTTGGGTAAGAATTAAAAAATAAAAAATAATAACTAAGTAAAATAAAAGCTGAGCTCCAGCTCTCACAATCTTTTCAAGGAATTAAGAGTGGCGGGTCAATGTTCAT